CTCAGACATGATACAAAAAGTGTTGCGAAGTATTGTATTTTCACAAATGATCATGGAAGAGGGGGATTCCTTTAAAAAAAAATTAAGTTTAAGAGTAACACTATGATTTGTAGGGCATCGTGGTGAAATCACGTGCTCGTCAAAATAATAAATATTTCCTTGCAGATTTTGCTGAAATACGTTGATTAAAGGCACAACAAATGTAAATTTACTGTTTCTAAAGACTTTCAAACTTTGGTAGTCATCATATTATTTATTATACTTTATAGTCTCCATTTTCCCGTTAATTTTTCCTCTGACTCTAGGAGACCCTCCCCTTCTTGAGTTTCAAAGTTCTCGATTTCTATGCAAGATACATGTAGATGGGAATTTTTTTCACCAAAAACAAGACAAATGTACAGCTTTAAGACCCCCGTGGGAGTCGCGTGAATGTGTTTCTTTCATCGCAGCCTATTCTTGTACTGGTATCGTTCACATGTTTTCGGTGCAATAACGCGCGATGAGTGTGCGTTTTTGCGCGCAATTGGGCTACACCTCAGGCTTTCTCTTGGGCTACCAAACCATAGATATAAACCACTACTCTCTATTCACATAAAGGAATACCGCGTTAGAGATCTAAATTATAGCGCAATTTTCCACCTTCTTTGGGCTCCTGACTCTTTTTGCAACCTTTGTACTGTTACTCCTTGACTCCTTCTTACTGCTGTCTTTCAGCCACACTCCTGATATTCTGGTAGGAATGATCTACACCTAGCCTTCTCGGGCAAGGGCGAAAAATCCCAGAGGGCCCGAGTGCAAGTTGCGCACATTAAAGATCCCTTGGTGGCCTATAATCGATGAGAGTATGCTTCGGCCGCCACCAGGGCAAAGTTCAAAATCTCCTATAAACTGAAAAAGTTTAATGTGTCCCGCGCGCTCATAAAACCGTATGCGCAGTTGCAAGCGCTGTGAAACACTTACCAAAAAAGAAACAACACCTGAGGTCTCACGCCATAGGACCAACCACACCACCGCAGTTCGGCGATGACTACCTTTATGGGGCTTCTCTCAACTCAATAGCTCAAATAAAGATGGGATTTTAAAAAATACAAGACAACAACAACAAAAACAACAGAAACACACACACACACACACACACACACACACACACACACACACACACACACACAACTGAGCTTCACTAGGCTACTTGGAACTTGGGCGGGGGCTCTCGTGGCCTTGAGGTTAGGGTGTTCGTTCGCCTCTCTTTCAATATTGTATAGGTCCCGGGTTCGAATCCGGATGGCCACGGAAAATTTCCTTCTCCAAAATGTTCTCCTTTCCTGCTCTTTAATCATGTTCTGTCGTCTGCTTTCGTCTCCACGTTCTACCCCCCCCCCCCCCCTCCCCATTAATTGCCCCCTCCTGTGGGCTCCTGACTCTTTCTGCAACCTTTGTACTGCTACTCTTTGGCTCCATCTCTTACTGCTGTCTTTCAGTCACACCCCTGATCTTCAGGTAGGAAAGATCTACACTTACCCTTCTCGGACAAGGCGAAAAATCTTCGAGGTCCCGTGTGCAAGTTGCGCACGTTAAGATCCCTTGGTGGTCCAAAATCGATAAGACCAGAGAGTTTACAGTAATTAATAAGAGTAGGCTTCAATCGCCACCAGGGCAAAATTAAAATTTCCTACCAACTGAAAGTGTTTATTTTGTCCAGCGCGCTCATATGATCTTTTTTTATTTGTTTGTTGGGTTTGTTTTGTTTGGGGTTTTTTTTGGGGGGGGGGTCGATTTTTTTTTTTTAACTCGAAGGATATGATAGTGGTAGAAATATCTCAAATGGACTTTTAACGTCGATTTTAAGTTTAACCCTTACGATTTGTTGAAATGTTTTGTTTACATTAAAATGAGATTGAGTATTTGTTCTCAGACATGATACAAAAAGTGTTGCGAAGTATTGTATTTTCACAAATGATCATGGAAGAGGGGGATTCCTTTAAAAAAAAATTAAGTTTAAGAGTAACACTATGATTTGTAGGGCATCGTGGTGAAATCACGTGCTCGTCAAAATAATAAATATTTCCTTGCAGATTTTGCTGAAATACGTTGATTAAAGGCACAACAAATGTAAATTTACTGTTTCTAAAGACTTTCAAACTTTGGTAGTCATCATATTATTTATTATACTTTATAGTCTCCATTTTCCCGTTAATTTTTCCTCTGACTCTAGGAGACCCTCCCCTTCTTGAGTTTCAAAGTTCTCGATTTCTATGCAAGATACATGTAGATGGGAATTTTTTTCACCAAAAACAAGACAAATGTACAGCTTTAAGACCCCCCCCCCCCCCAACAAAAAAAAAGGAAAATTGACGATCGCCTGATTCCCATGCGTTGTGACAGAAGACAGCTCTTTTTTTTTGGGGGGGGGGGGGGTAAATGTTTTACGGCGCTCGCAACTGCATAAGGTATTATAAGCGCCGGGGACACATTTAACATTTTCTGTTTGGTAGGAATTGATAATAATTTTGAATTTTGCCCGGATGGTGCCCGAAGCCTGCTCTAGTAATCAATCTTTGGACCACCAAGGGATCTTTAACGTGCGAAACTTGTACAAGGGACCTCCCAGATTTTTCGCCCTTATTCGAGAAGGCTAGATATTACCAGCCACTGCCATAAAATAAAGTGCATGGCTGAAAGACAGCTGTGCGAAGGAGCCAAGAAGTAGAGTAAAAAGAGTCATGAGCCAGAGGAGGGGGCAAAGGGAGATGGGGGTGGGGGTGGGGGTAGAAAGTGGGATCTAAAGCAGACGACAGAATATATATAGAGATCAGGAAAGGAGGTGAAAGGAGAACATTATTATAGATGAAAATTGTCCGTCGTTTTCAGGTTTCGAACCTGGGACCTATTGAATGAAAGGCGAACATCGCAACCTCTTACTCTTGGCCATGAAAACCCCCCTGACGACAGCTCTGTCTACCATTATAATTCGAGATGCACAAGTGAAATCAGCATAACTTGAAAGCAGGCTTAGTTTCTGGCAGTACGTACCTCTATAAATACATTATTGATGGCCATGTACGTACTGTATTCATGTGACAGCTAAAAAAGATATGTTTCGATTTTTGTTTGTTTAACTAACCGGGGGGGGGGGGGGATGAAATATGTACCACCCCTTCCTAAATACATAAATGCATATATATATATATATATATATATATACTATTATAAAGTAATGTGCTCATTCAAACAAGAACTGCGCTGACTGAAACACATCTATCTGACAACTAGAATTGACCTGAATCCAGGCTTCCTTAGGTGTGCAGGACTCAGTAAGACTAAGAGCAATAGTTGCGCTGAAACGCGGTGTAGCCGATGTATTGTCAAATCACTGAATACATGTACCACTTTAGCTGTTTTCTAATAACATTGCCTATTATGCATTTATAAAAGAAGTAGAAGGTGAAAAAGGCAATATTGCTGGAGGTCAGGCATGAAAAACATGGCTTGATGAATTTGAGAATGCTCTTGCATTGTACGAATTCAATCTTTCAACTTGAAGGACGACAAGTGTTGTTGGTTTTTTCCTCCCCGTGTCACCTCTCGGTGTAAAAGTAAAAGCGGTGAGAAGCTAAGGTCGCTTTTGAGCACAATGGGGCTATTCAGAAAAATGCTGTTTTGAGAAAATCGAAGGTAAAGTTTTTGCCCCTTGTCCAGTTTCTTTCAAAGTCAAGGAGAGTTTTCTCTATAGCCAAACAAATATACACACCAATGAAACCAAGCTTCTCTTATAGTTATAGGTAGGACAATGATTTCTGGAAACCCCCGAAATCTGGGTTAGCCCGATATATGATATATATATATATACTATACCGGTATAATTGCGCACGAGGGCGTGTATGTTTGTGTCGCGCACTTGCACAGGTGTCGCTCATGTGCATGTTGATATGTGTTGCTATAAGCCTATAGTAGATATTGACAAAAGGTGACCCTTTTGTGCTTGCTTGCAGCTATCTCAAGAAAAAGGCTTACAGAGTTACCAGCAGATTTTTCGACACATACATTTATGTACACAGTACCATCAACCTGAGTAACGAGCACAAGGACAAGGGGGGACAGGGGTATTATTTAACATGTAAAGGAATCGATAGCTTTGTTACCTCCCTTTTGCTTTTCCTCTCTGGGTGGAAACTAGATTCTATTATAATATTATATACCACACATTTTACCCTGCGTGCTCACAGTGACTGCCTGCTGTTTATCTTCTCGAGTACATCAGAGGGTTACCCGACAGCGGGGTTTTAATCTATGGGGTAACTAACTGTTACGTTTACATTTTCCCTTGTCTGTTCCTTTTCTTAGATATTTGTAGTACTGATGATAACTTCAGTTGTGGTAGGGTAATGTGATTTAGCAGGTGTACCCCTTTGTGATTGTTACTCAAGGACATGACACTGGTACATAGAGCTCAGAGCTTTATGCCCTTATCCAAGAAGATCTTGGAACAAAAGTAAAAGCACATGTCATAATAACTGGACTAATTTGGTATTGGCTACTGGAGTAATATTTCTGTTTTGTTTTATAGCAAAGAGAACTGCAGTAATAGTTACATTGCGCCCACTGAGGACAAAACTTACAAAGTAGCTGTAGCCTAATTCATTATTTTGATCAAAGAACGTACATAAGAGTTCAAATTCGAAGGGATCCGATCGGGGCTATTCTGAATCAGAATCACTGACCAGTATAAACATCTATAGAAGTACATCTATAACCAGGTGGTAGGACTTGTTCGATCAAAGCCAGTTACACGCAAAACGTCACAAATATTAGGGTGGATCTATGAGTATGTGTATGTGTGCGCATGTGTTATGGCAAGACAGAGAGAGAGAGAGAGAGAGAGAGAGAGAGAGAGAGAGAGAGAGAGAGAGAGAGAGAGGATGAAGGGAAGAAAGAGGAGGGGGAGAAGGAAGGGTAAGTGAGTTCATACATACAGTTTGTCACTAATGAATGTGAACACACACTTTTTGCGGTAAAGCACATAGATCACTCTTGCAGAGAAAATGCTCTACAAAATGTGTCCACTTTTATTGTTATCATTAAAATCAAAACTACATAAAGACCAGTACGCAACCTCAGTGCTTTCTTGTCGTATTTCCATTTTTAACAGCGAAAACGTGACATTTTCTTTAGCTCACTTTGTTATGAACTGTTTTCACTGTTATTAAAAATGGAGATACAACAAGAAAGCACTGGGGTCGCGAGTCTTCATTGACCGCTTCTAAAAAGGAAAGAAAGTACAAGTACTGGTATACCAGTAAATGATGCAAACAAATAAAAATTACACAGACAAAAATTTCCAGTCTTTTAATCACAGTAATCACAAATTTGAACTAGAATTGAAAAATTATTTCATATGACATGAAAAATGTAGCAAACCTTTCACTCATATCCTCAGACACTGGCACACACCAGAAAACAACAACAACAACAAAACTACAACATCACAAAGGGTTTTCAAAACTAAAATCTTCATAATACACATTGTTTTTCCTCCACTTGTAGCTTTTCTCATATGTCTTTGGGTCCTCGCCAATGGGTAAGTCTGGCTTGTAATTGGGCAATAGACCTGAAACAAAACAAATTCACAGAGCTCTTTGAGTTACAGGAAAGTTCTGTAAATAAGGCAGCAAGGCAGAATCATTCACTTTACTGTTTACTCTCTATGTTAAAACATTAATGCGATCCATCAGAGTAGTCTTACTAATGCAGATGAAGTCAGAACAGAGTGAATGAAAACCTTTATAGCATAGACTCAAGTTGATCAATAAAACAAGGTGACTTTCACATCAGACAGTAAAATTATAAATTTAGCTGGGGAACACAATTAATAACAAGATGTGTATGTGTGTGCATATGTACTAAGTGTGTTTAATTCGCAAACACAGAAGGTCTCATGTATCCTATTCTGACTTTCTAATAAATTCTAAATACAATTTTAAGCGACAAACATCACCATGTCTCACTGGTCTCTTCCATCACATTTGCTTCATTGAGAATTTCTAAAAAATATGATAGGGACTTTAATTCCAAACTTGTACATGTTTACTAGAGGTACAGTAAACTCTACAATACCCCTTTTTCATAGCCATCATGAACAATATTAGACCTATACCATTACAACAAGAAACAAGAAAAACACATGTTTATTAAAGAAACACTGAAAACGAAACAATTTAACTAATAAATATACCTGAAAATCTAATTTGCTATACGTGCCTTTTGCTTTGTGTGTGTTCGCTATGTGCATGCTTGACTGTATACATTTCACAAACCTGCAGAATACGACTGATAGAGTAATCTTTCGAGTTTCCACTGCATTGTGTGGCACATTCCAGTGACATGTTTTGGTAAAATTCGTCCATCAGGCGAAATAAATTGATGCAGTATCAGGACATCCTGCAAAACATGAATACAATAATGCAAATAAATTTAACTTTTCCTATGCAATTAATTTTGAGACTTTAAGAATAGCTCTAAAAATACTACATGTACAAGCGAATTTATGTCAACATCACGGGTAGAGATTGCTTTTTTTTCCATTGGGTGATCAGTGTTAGTAATACACAATTAGTGACAATTTAAACGACCGTGGAGGCTAGTGGTCTATTTTGGTAACGTATGAAAACATTCTCCAACAGGTACATGTACCTATATCTCCAACAGTACCAAACAAAGTGACAATGTACATCACCCTCACATATCCATCATTTTACTCTATTTTTTTAGCATCTTACAGTACTCTTTCACTACACTACAGCCATCCTCTCTCTTTAAACCCATGAAATGAAAAATCCAACAAACATATTTAGTCTAGAATCTAAAATGAGTGAACACACAACAAAATAAGAGTTGGATATCAAGGAAACAACAATGAATAAAAGAGATAATGTACAGTGAACTATCTATAGTTTATAGCGTGTTCAATAACAAAACGTCAAATCTTATGCCAGAGTCAAACCCATAAAAAATCCCGCAAGAAAACTTCTCGCTCTTTCACCTTAAATCTGCTGTAACATTAAAAAATGTGTTTCACTAACTGCTCATGTAAGTAAAGTTTAAAATTCTAGCTTATTTGGAAAAAAAAAATACCCACAGTTGAAAATATCCAAGACAGCCGGACTTTGTTGTGGAGTAAATTTGTTTTCTTAGACAGGTGGATGTTTTGGGCAGGATAGATGAAAATGAAGAATTCATTGTTCATTGTTTCAAAAGCAACCTCCCGGCATTCCGGACATGAAGAAAACAAACAATTCCCTTTCTAAAACTGTAGGTAGTTGCAGGCTTAGGCCTGCTATAAAGCTCACAATAACGATAATTTATTTACCTTTGAAGGGGGGGGGGGGTTGAAAGGGAAGTTTGACGTTGTGTGCGTCTGTCGAGTGTCGGCATTATTGCACGTCTCAGTCTGTCTGTCTGTGTGTATGTGTCCGTCTATGTGTTTCTGTCGGTGTGTGTCCACTTCTGTGTGTCTGTTGATATTTATTTGTCTGTTTATAAAATATAAGGATATGTAGCAGTATCTGTCTGTCTGTATATAATGTATCTCAGAATATATCCACCAATGTAGATTTGTGAGTTTTTAAAAACAAGTGCCAGAGAGGAGGGGATAACAATAATGACAGGTGCATGGATCATGACAGTTCTTCCACATCATAAGGGGCTGATATATATATATAATTTATGTCAACACTTTGTGCAATGTGATATTTGCATACAGTCCTGGTTGATAAAATATAGTGGTCTCATTCTCCTCTTGGGCAATGTCATTATATATAATTATTTATAGTAAAACCGAATGGGAAAGGAGGGAGCAGGGAGTTGGAAGTGGTCATATGTACAGGTGGTTGTCTTGGACAGGTGGCTGTAAGAATAAATTCGACTGTAAACATCTTTCCGATATTTGACATAGATCTAGAACTGGTTGGTGAAAAGTTGGGGGGGGGGGGGGGGGGGGGGGGTGGAGGACTGAAATGTTTTTTGATTGGTCACTGGAAACGCATCTCTGAGAGGTTTCTGACTGGTGTTTGGGTGACCGGGTGTAACGTTTAGTATTGTTTAGTTAGACCTAGGCTTTGATGTGCAACACGCGTGAATGCAGTAAAACATTAGACAGGCCTCTATTCTATAGGATTAAAGATTAGTCAAGTAAGCCTAATCAGCTGCGCTCGAAGAACTTATAGCTTACTTGTTCAACGAATCACAAGAGAAATGTTTCTCTGAATGTAAAAATCTATGATTCTTATGTCGTTCATGAATTTACGGTCGGGGGTGGTCGTTTGTAAAGCCAAGTGGCTGCTCCGTCGTCTCTATGACTATCACCAACAATTTCCTCTACGGCTATCTGTTCCCGACATTCTATGGCGCATATCATTACATTGAGTTTGTCTTTCTGCCACCCCCCACCCATTCAACGCCTTTGTATTCTTAACTGTCCTCAGAGAAATTCACGCGCGCAACCCGTAACTTGCGCACGCAACTTTTGCCCGGCATTTTCGTGAATTAACCAATTTTCCCACAAAAGTTGGAAAAATAATAATCAAATTTGGTTAAAAATAACCAAAACTTTCTTCCACGACTAAAAATAACGACGCAAAGGGGGGAAAACTTGTACCTGAAATAGCTCTACCACTTCCTTTGCACTACAGGGTGCCCATTGCGGATGGGATCGGGTCGCGTCAGGTCGGGTCGGAATGATCGCCTGACTCGTCGCCTGAAAGCAACGCGTTTGTTTTTGAGGCAGCGTGTCGGGCGCGATCGATTTGTGCCACGACAGCCGCTTTGCCCCTTGGACTGAATCATCTAGCTAGATCTAGATCTAGATAAATCAATCGTCTGATTACTTTGCTTGCTTGGTTCCATAGCACCAGGTAGATAGATCTAGTATAAAAATTTGTGAAAGACTTTAAATCTTAGGCTAGGAGGGTAGATCCAGATCTAGACATGGATCGATTCATCCAGAAAACCCCCCAATGTAATATTACATTTTTGTAAGGTGAAAAAATAGCAAGAAAAATAATTTATGACAACATATCGTTTTTTTAAATAACACATAAAAAAGAGTAACTTTACTATACAATTCACTTAGAGCAGTAAGCACGGCATTGTGGAAATGCAGTAGGTCCTCGAGCAGCAAGCACCGATATGCCATCTCACACTTTATACACTAGTAGACATCTAGGCTACATGACATGTATATCTAGTCTAATTTTGATTAAACCAGTGCGGTAAAAGTGGTAAAATGACACAGTAAGTTTTTCCGGAAAAGTTCTGCTTGTACCGTATTTAATTATTATGTCACACATGTGTATGCATGTTTTTCATGAACACTATCATGTAAAAGTAAAGCGCCGCATAGAACAATGATTGTACTCAAGATTTGCGCAATATAATGGTCAATTATTTTAAAGAAGCGAATAATGTTATATTACGGGATTTTTTTTGGGGGGGGGGTAAGAAAAGTGTAAAGGGGGGAGGGGGCAAAAAGTAAAAAAAAAAAAGGTGTAAGATCATATTTGAACAGCCCCAAAACCATGCTGGTCACACCTGCCCAAGGTCAGCGAGAGTTTAAGGACCTGACGCATGTGTCAGGGGACAAACAGTTTTTGTACACCGTGCACATGCAGTTTTTTTGTTTTTTGGGTTTTTTTTGTAGACATTCACATAAAATCTAACTTTTGATTTTGATCTAACAAATCTCATGTTGATTACTTTGATTGCAAAGAGCATACCAACAATGTATTCCAATAATTCCATGACAATTTTCAGCTATACACACATCTTGCAACTTTTGCTATTTTCAAAAGCAACTTTCTCTGAGGACAGTCGGGGAATCCTTCACAAAACAGTCACGTGTCGTCACATTATTGGCCAAAGTGACCCCCACCCCAAAGGGAGGTCACTAGAATATCAAGGCAAAGAAATGACAGTGTCCCTTCCTCCCTTTGCAAAGGTTCATGTAAACGCACGCTCCGTATGAACACACGCTCAGGAGCCCTCCCGAGCATCGTGCCTTTAGGCGGAGACGACTGTTTTAGATATGACCCCGAAAGTAGTCTACTCTAAGGTTAATTATATAAAGGACAAGAAAAAAAAGAAATGGGATTAGAAAGTAGAATTATGAAGCTAAACTGAAATACCTTGATGTATGGAGAGAAACAGGAATCTTAAAGCTGGGGATAATTAAAAAAAGAGTACATTTAAGTTACGTGGAAATTTACCCTGTATGTTAATTTGTCTTGAAATTCACATAATGGGCAACCTGTGGCAGCTTGGATTTTACGAACTGGAGATTTCACTTCTGATTCCAAGGGCTTTCCTTCTATCTGAAAAACAAGGAAAAGAGGATTTATGCAAGAGTAGAAGTAGACCCTTACCTTGCTGTTACATTTATACTTTTGCTTGACTGCTAAATCATTTTGTACAGTTTTTCCATTTCTTGTTCATTGATAAAAGCAGAGAGAGATAAGTGAGCCTCATATACTCATACATTTTCATTAATCATCCAGTTAAAAATGGTGGGTAAAAAAAAAGCGGTCGATAAAGAAAGTTACAAAATTGTAGAGAAAATCTTCATCATCTGACACAGTTGCATTAACTACATAAAGAATGGTGGGAGTTCAGCAGTGTGGAGAACATAGAAAAATAAATCTTCTTTATTGTCAAAATGATTGTTGCATAACTCTCAAAGTTGACAATTATGCTCATTATGATTTGCTTGCAGAGATTAATATTGAACTGGGAGTTGAGAGTCAGGCTTCACAAGAACCAAAATACAAACTATATGAAATCTCCTTGAAACTTACAATGAAACCCTTGAAAAATACCAAAGTTAACCAAAAAGGGGGCTTAAAATCAACATTAGGATTTCCACATTTCACCACATACATCAACACTTAATGTGAGCCCCATAATTTTCCGAAGCCTATCAATTATCGTATAAACATAATTGATAAATTGATAAAAAGCAAACAAAAGTCTAAAGGTCCTTGTCTGTAACGAAAACTGTTAATAAAAAGAAACACCATAACCTAACATTGAACTGACACTTGCTACAGCTGAAACTGAAATGGTATGAGCTCAATCCTCATTTAAGCCACAAGATTTCTGTCAGCTCTCTAACTTTGATGTATATGGATAGAGGGTACTTATATAATAGTTACGTCACCATTGTCATTGTGTGAAGGACCGACATCCCTGCACAAGGGGCATCCCCATAAGCGCTCCGTCCCCTGAAGAAGCACATCTCGAAGTGTGTAGATGCTGACGGTTCCAAGCAATGGTTGATTCCATAGCCTTCTGCTCATCCCACTAAGTCTTGAACTTCTGCAGGCGCCCCATCCAATTCCAAGCTCACAAAGTCGCTCAAGATGATGGTATCCCGACTCTTTTCGTTCTTTTTCTCGCTTTTCCCTGACTGAACGTACAATTTCAGGTTTGTCAGGGCACAGCTTCCCTTTAGGTTTCGCTTTCCCAGCGAGCTCATCAGCCAGCTCATTGCCCTTGACTCCAGCATGGCCCGGGTGAAGATCCACGGGATCGTTTTCAGTGTTGTCTTCTTCAGGAGCTCTGTCCATTCAGCTCTAAGGTTCCCACTTTCAATCTTCTTCAGAGTGCTCTGAGAGTCTGTGACAAAGATCACATGTGCTTGTCGAGTTGTTGTGACCCATTTGAAAGCCTGAGTGATTGCCTCTATCTCCATTCTCATGCTTAATTTATAGTCATATCATATGCTCTCTGTTGTTCCTGCACCAATCTGCCACCCATTCTTGCTGAGAAACCCCATCCAGGTTTTCCCCCTCATTTAACAGATCTATCCGTGTATACAACCACATGTCCGTGCCGTGAGTTTTCTTCAATCAGTTGTCGTATCTCAGTATCTGTCGCCCCCTGCGGCCACTCTCTACATACATTCTCTGTTCAGCGTAATCACTACCTTCCCAAAATCTCCCTGCTGTCTCTCATTCATCTTTATCCATTCTTCACCCCGCTTTATATCTTCCAGTGGGCAGACTTCCTTGATGGTGTTTTCAGCCTCAGCCATCCAAGAAGCTGCTCGTTTTAGGCGATTTCCCTTGATTGCTCCAATGGCTTTGTGAAGTGGGTGTTGCTTATCAGCCTCCACCCTCATGTATGCCCTCACCTGAGCCACTTTGTGTCTGTTTTCCACTGACATGAGGCTCTAAACATGCCTTAAATAGATAATTGGTATCCCTGGTGCAGCCTAGTATGATGCGCATGGTTTCATTTTGAACTCGATCCAACTTGTCCAGTTGGGTTTTAGTCAAGGTCAATACTCCGAGCCCATTAAGACCAGCTGCTGATGCATAAGAAGCAGTAGCCTTTGTTCCATTTCTGAAGCCGCCATGATCTTCACTGCATTTAAGCCCTTCTTTGCCCTTTCCACAACACCATCTATGTGATCTTTGAAGGTTAGACAGCGATCGAAAACCACTCCCAGATACCGCATCTTCTGACATCTTTGAATATTCTGTCCATTTACCGTCAGCTCTGGGACATCTGTCTTTACTATTCGATTTTTCAAAGAGCACCACAGTGCTGCGGCCTTCTGAGGCCACGCCAACAGTGATTTAGAAGTGGCTCCAACATAATTTTTTAACCCACCTTAATTTACTAGTAAGGTAACTGGCAAATAAATTGCTTCAAAACCTGGTGTAAGTAAGGAGAATGGGAAAGAGATGTATATGTACCCCAACCTCCCCAACAGCCTTTTACTTCTCAGTGTTGAAATATCTAATCTTTGTATTTTTAAGTTTACTTACTCATAGTTTTCACAATCAAAGATTATCAGTGTAGTGTCAGATATGATCATCATCATCCGGTGCCTTGCCGACTGGCGTGGGCGATCATGGACCTCCACTTCACTCTGTCTAGCGTAGCAGCAATGGTGTCTGTTGTTCTTGCTGCTCCTAGCCATGTTGTCGTTTTGTCCAGTATTTTTTCCCTCTGTCTGCCTCTGCCCCTCTTTCCATCAAACTTGCCTGTTGTTATAATATTTTCCAATGTTTCTTTCCACATTGTGAGTCCACAGAAATTTGCCTGTCGCTTTCTTATATTCGTCATAAACTGTCCTCTGCAATTTGCTTCAACCAAGACTTCTTCATTTGTTTTTCTAACTGTCCATGAGACACGTAGCATGCGTCTTATGAACCACAACTCCTGTCGCCACAATTGTTCTTTCCAGCTGTTCATTGATTGTTCATGCTTCGCACACGTATAATAGGATTGGCTCGATATAACTTTTCAGTACCTTTTTTCTCGTTTCCAGTGACAGATTGATGTTTGTGAGTATCTGTTTCACTTTGTGGAAGGTTGCTTTTGCTTGGCAAATGCGGCTTTTAATTTCGGTGTGACATCTCCCATCTGATGATATAATGGTCCCCAAATATTTAAAATGTTGCACTTGCTTGAGGGAGGTATAATTGATGTTGATATTGCATGTTGGGGTTGGAGTTTTTCTGCTTATCACCATTGTTTCGGTTTTCTTGATGTTTTGGCTTAAGCCCATGTTGTCACTCTCTTGTACGATGACATTTAAAAGATTCCGTAGGTGTTCTTCATCTTCTGCTATTAGGACAGTGTCGTCAGCATATCTTAGATTGTTTATATTATGTCCCCCTATCGAGATACCTGGCATTTCTTCTATGGGTCTCCTGATATTTTCACTATACAGGAGAACAAGTCTGAAGAAAGTACACATCCCTGTCTGACTCCTCTTTTAATCTGTATGTATTTGCTGACGTCGTTTTCTATTCTCATTGCAGCAGTTCGATCCCAGTACATGTTCTTGATCATGCTTAAGTCCTTCCTGTCAATATTGAGGACGTCCAGCATGTCGATGATCTTGTCAGATATGATAAGAACATTAATATTGCCTTTGACAAAGCGGAAATGGGACCCAATTTTAAGAGCGGAACAAAGAAAAGAAGTTATATATAGGGATGTCATAATAGCAAATAAGCACTAGCTAAAACTTGTGAAAAGTATAGTAATCTGCACTTACCACTGTTTTGTTATCTTCAGTAGTGACTTCCACTGTGGAAGAAGCACAGGTAAAAAGATGGCTTTAAGTTTATTATAACATCCAAAGTGTCTTAGTGTTTACCCAAATATGATACTTAAATCAACATGACTAGTATTCATTCAGTAATTTCAAAGTGATTTAAGCCAAAACTAGAAAAATGGAGACAGTACAAATTATACATAATAGAAGCTCGTGAACTGAATATTATATAGTATCTGATCATTAAAAACTAAGTAATAAAATCATCAGATAATCATTCATGAAGATTCACAGAATGAAAAATGACTGCACCTCTATTCTCTCACTCTGACTGTCTTTCAATAAATTCAAAAGACCGAAGTGTGAGAAGAAAAATGTAAAAAAAGAACTAGGCTAGAATATAATACAGTGGAACTTGGATTCAACGATAGCTCGAATTCAACTAAAGGAGTTGGATTCCCTGGGGTTTTTTTAAATTAAAAAAAATCAATAAAAATAGCTCGGATTCAACGAACACATATGAGCAAGCTTGGATTCAACAAAGTCGCTTGGAGGGTGAAGAGCCAGCCCCCCCCCCCCCCCCCCCCCCCCCCGTTGTCACAGCTTAGCTCATTTTTCTCCCGCAACGAACCTATCTATTCCTGAAAACCATCAATGGCACCTGCAATGTGAACCACTATTTGCTTCTATAGCCTGATATTTATATCTTGTGCGACCTACTAGCAGCCTTCTTTCATACCAATATGAGCGTTATTAGCATACACACATGTCTAAGCATGTGTCAGAGTCGGACGGCTGGCCAGCACATGTGTGACGAGTGACTGTGTGTGCATGTATGTGTCTTGGAAGGGAGGTGGGCATAAGCGGACCGAGCGTGGAATATCAGTAGAGATAGAGATACAAACATGTCACAGTTATTATTTCCCCCGGCTACTGATGGATATTACAGTGATAAGCTAGTATTGACATAGATCTTTTTTTTTTTTTAGTTTAGTAGAGGTTTTACGGCGCTCGCAACAGCATAAGGTCATATGAGCCGACTAGATCTAGAAATCTAATCTAGTACGTGCGCAAGAATATAATGATATTGATGTAAACATAGTGGCCGTCTGCTAATGTTCAAAGAAGCCAAGAAGGGACTTTTGAGAGGGATATGTAAAAGATAGATCTAATCTACGTGAGTCTGATACTGTGATAGGCCAGTAGTGTTTTGATTTGGTTGGGTAGGGCAATAATATTACGAAGTGACTATTCGGACTCGAGTCCGAATAGATAAAAATTATATTCGGACTCTGAATTGAGTCCAGCATGACATCCCTTCCGACTTCCGACCCTTGTTCCTAAATATTTCCAGCATTTCTGAAATTTTTTGGGATTATAATGATTAATTGAGATGTGAGCTTTAATATCCAGTTACTAGATCTAGATCTATCTAAACTGGCCCTCCCTGGATCATTAGTTTGAACAGAACAACTAAGCTGAGCTGACCTTGCTGGTACTGATGGGCAGATATCGATACTAAGATACCTATAGGTATTGGTATCGGTATGGATACCTGTCCTAAACATCGATACCTGTGTGTTATTTATCCCAGGGTTGCCAGAGCTAGTGACTTGGGCCTTGAGAATTTTTTGTTTAACAAAACTGATGAGCTTTTTAAATGAATCTAGAGATTTTAAAACAAAAATAGTGAAGTTTTTCATGAAATCTATCTAGTGATTTTGCTAAATCCTCACTGACAACCCTGATTTATCCTCATTATTGTAATTTTCTTTATTTTTCCTTCTTCTCTCTTTGGCTCCCATGCTCACTCTCCGCCTGTCTGTCTGTCTGTCTATCTATCTCTTTCTCTCTGTCTCGTTCTCTACGATGGCCTTCTCTGTCTGTCAATCTCTCTGCCTCCCCCCGCCCCCCCTTCTCTCTCTCTCTTCCTCTCTCTCGTTATAAAAATTATAAAATTATTAATTAGCTATGAAGCTAGGGTGGAACTTGGATTCAACGAGGTCGCCGGGCCTGAGCTAAAATCTCGTTGAATCCGAGTGTTCGTTATAGCAAACATGAGGTTTTGTGTAGATAATTACAGGCACTGAGCAAGTAATGTATAAAGAGAAGTCACAAGTAGCGCCTGAAATGCCTGCATATTATCGTGTAAAAAAAAAGGCCGCCTCTGTCATCTTGATTGAGTGCCAAAAAGTTGTGTTGCTGTCTTGTAGATCCAATATGACAGACAAATGCAAAGAGCAGAACCTTGGACTCTACTCCACATTTGTGGATCTGACGAAAGCATTTGATACTGTCTGCCGCGCAGGGCTGTGGAAGATCATGGCAAAGTCCGGGAGCCCCACAAAGTTCATCGCGATGGTCCAATAATTCCACGATGGCATGACAGCAAGAGTGGAGGACGATGGCGTGTACTCCCAGCCCTTCCCCGATACTAATGGAGTGAAGCAGGGCTGCATGCTGGCCCCACTCTGTTCAGCATGATGTTCTCAGCTATGCTGACCGACGCCTACCACGATGGAGATATCGGTGTCGGTTTTCTTTACCGCACTGATGGAAAACTCTTCAACCTTCGGAGGCTGCGGGCGAGGACTAAAGTCCATGCAGGCATAGCCCGCAATTTCCTCTTTGCGGACAACTGCGCGCTTTAAGCCAGTACTCAGTCAGACATGCAAGGAAGCCTGGACCGTTTTTCTAAAGCCTGCGAAAATTTCGGCCTCATTATCTCCATAAAGAAGACCGAAGTACTGTACCAGCCAGCCCCATTGGCTCCTTACATAGAGCCCCATTGTACCATCTACGGCCAGAGACTGGCAGTGGCAGAAAAGTTTGTCTACCTTGCAGCACCCTCTCTTGTTCGGTCAATATCGATGAGAAAGTGGCCTACAGAACTGCCAGAGCTAGTTCAGTCTTCGGTAGATTGAAAAACAAAGTCTGGGAGCGAAGAGGACTGAGCCTTAACACCAAGCTCAAAGTGTATAAAGCAGTAGTTCTGCCATCCCTGCTCTACGCTTGCGAAACGTGGACAGTCTACAGCCGGCATGCCAAGCAGCTCAATGCCTTCCACATGAGATGCCTCAGGACCCTGCTTCGTATCAAGTGGCAAGACAGAGTCCCAGACACTGAGCTTCTACAGCGGGCCAAGATGGAGAGATACGCTATCCTACTGGGCTCTCAGCTCCGATGGGCCGGCCACGTTCACCGCATGGACGACTCTCGCCTCCCTAAGAGGCTATTCTATGAAGAACTGACCCTAGGCGGCCTAGGCAAATGTTCTCTCGGCAGACAAAAGAAATGCTTCAAAGATGCCCTGAAAGCATCCCTGAAGAGTTGTGACATTCCCCATACCACCTGGGAAGAAGCTGCTCGCGATCGCACAGTTTGGCACTCCTTATATATCTATACTACGAAATTTGCGGAAAAGGATGTGATTTCAGAGTCAGAGTCAAAGTGTTCGCTTTTAGTAGGCTACATTTGTAATGGAACGTTTGTTCACGGCACAGAATTCTACAATTTTTCTGTTATCACAGTGTAGAATTCTGTGGTTTAGGGTGAACGCGCACCGGGTGAGAATAGCCACAAGACTCGCCTGCACTATTCTCACTCCGGGTGAGACGGTGAGAATAGAGGTGGCCTTACAAATAATTTTTGTGAGTCTCAGTTCTAATAGATCTAGATCTAGAATCTAGATCTAGACCAAGAAGCTTTTTCATCCTACCTCTTTTAGCTGATATGCTAGCAGAAAGTGAGAAACTTTTGGCTGCAGGCCACCTTTGTCGCAAAGAACGGGTAATTGAAAGAACAAAGTTTGGAGACAACCTAAGTTTCATGGTCGCTGCCATCTTCGATAGAATTCTCAGGTTAAAAACTTGAATGGTGAATGGAGCAGATAATATTTAGGAATGACAAGCTTGAAATGTGAAACTTGTTGCAAATAAAATCTACAAGTTTAGTTAAACCCTAGTGTCTTGTTTGTATTTCAATATTTTTAATAGCCCAGAAGCTTTTATATATAAAAAAAAAAGCCCACAACAACTGAAGTAGATTGCTAAAATTATATTCTTTGTTCCGTCTCTTTTTTAAGGTCGGCGTAGTGCAGTGTTCAGATTTAGCAGGCATTTAAGTATAATAATAATATTTTACTATAATACTCAGAGACCTAGCAATGTCTCTGATATACTACAGCTTTTCCCATGAACACAAATAAACGCTAGTGTGTCAAGGTATAATATTATCCTTTGACTTTGGTGCTCTCACCGTAAGCGTATTAATACAACACACATACACAAGAGTAACAGAGTCAGAGAGAGAGAGAGAAAGAGAGAGAGAGAGAGAGAGAGAGAGAGAGAGAGAGAGAGAGAGAGAGAGAGAGAGAGAGAGAGAGAGAGAGAGAGAGAGAGAGAGAGAGAGAGAGATCGATGGAGCCATCAAATCAGGCAGAGAGAAAAGAGAGAGAGAGAGAGAGAGAGAGAGAGAGAGAGAGAGATCAAAGCAGACAGACAGACAGACACACACACACACACACACACACACACACACACACACACACACACACATACACACACACACACACACAAACAGTGCGAGTGAAATAAAAGAGAAGATGTGGGAACGAACGTCAAATATGAGACCCCTTTACTTTCGGAATTTGGTGAAAAGTTTAGATCTATTAAAAATATTATTATCAACCTTCACCAACACAGGCTCCAACAGCAAAATTTACGGTTCCATTCTTTTGAATGAATGAAAGTTGAACAATAATCTGGGAAACGTAACTTTCGTTTCCAAAGAACTCCGAAATGGTGTTTCTAAAAATATGAACTTTGTCAATGCTTTGAAAGTGCTTGTTTTACCATTTGCTTCGCTGAGCCAGTGTTTATTGTTTATGTTGTTCATGCTGCTATGTCCAGGTAGTTTGTGCATACGCGCCTGTGTCTTCGTTGTCTGACACCTCATTAATAAGGTGAGAAAGTTAATAAAATACCAACAAGGTAGATCTGGAGCTTGAAAAAAAAGGTACATTTTTAACTTAGGTTAGATCTAGATCTATATCTAGATCTAGATCTAGAATCTAGATATAGATCTATATGCACCCATCAATCAAACGCAGATGCATTGAATTAATTTGAATTGAGTTTGAGGGCTAAAATTTAGAATCTATAGATTTCTAGATCTAGATCTAGATATAGATCTAGATATAGATTCTAGATCTAGAAATCTAGATCTAGATTCTATATAAACTGCCATAATTTTGGCTGTAGAATACACGTATGTGTACTAGACTAAAACCCTTGAAAATCAATTGTTTTGAAGTACGCAGCGTTTGAAGTAAGGCGTAAGTGTTAGGCCACCTCTATTCTCACCCGGAGTGAGAATAGTGCAGGCGAGTCTTGTGGCTCTTCTCACCCGGTGCGCGTTCACCCTAAACCACAGAATTCTACACTGTGATAACAGAAAAATTGTAGAATTCTGTGCCGTGAACAAACGTTCCATTACAATTGTAGCCTACTAAAAGCGTACAATTTTGTCTGTGGGCAGGGGAGAGAGAGAGAGAAAGAGAGAGAGGAGTAGCGCGAGAATTTCCGGGCAAAACAAAATGGCGACCCGCGTAGTTCGGCTCGATTCGAAAAGTTAAATAGCCGTAGCATCTTTGTAGACAACCAAATTAATTTACTTTTGTGTTTTAACATCATTTTTTAACTTTGTTTTGGTCAATTTGATCGTCCACACCGATAGACAGTATTCAGAAAGAGACGGAGAGAGAGAGAAGAGGGGAGGAGTTGATCTTGCGAGAACTTCCGGGCGGGTGAGAATAGCCACTTTCTTGAAGTAAATTATATCAATCCTAATTGCCAAAACATCAAATCATTGTGAAATGCAGTGCAGGGGGGCATGCCCCCCCTGAAATCCCCTTAGATTCTTTTTAGGAGGGCAGGTCTGCAGGCTAGGTTCACGGCGCTGTGAATGTAGTTGGCAGGCTACGTTCACGGCGCCCTGAATGCAGTTTGCAGGCGCTGTTGAGGCTACGTTCACGGCACTCAAGCTTCGTTTAGACGGAGCGTCCACTGCCGGTTTTAGTCAGTTCAGTGACTACAGTGACACATATATTTAATATTTTGGCCAGCTTCAAATGTTCCATCCAATGAGATGAAGGAAAACGAAAAAGCCTGGGAACCGACACAGAGAGAAAATGACGGGAATAATTCTTTTCATAATAGCAAACACCCTCTCTCTCTCTTTCTGTCTGTCTCTCCCCTTTCTCTTTCCTTCTCTCTTTCTCCCCCCCCCCTCTCTATTTTCTCTGTCTCTGTCTGTCTGTCTGTCTCCTCTCTCCCTCTCTCTTTCTCTCTCTCTCTCCCCCCTCTCTCCCTCTCTCTTTCTCTCTCCCCCCCCCAACCTTCTCTCTCCCCTTCTCTCCCCCACCCCCCCAACCTTCTCTCTCTCACTCTCTCTCTCTCTCTCTCTCTCTCTCTCTCTCTGTGACTCTCTCTCTCTCTCTCTCTCTCTCTCTCTCTCTCTCTCTCTCTCTCTCTCTCTCTCTCTCTGTGTGTGTGTGTGTGCGTATTATGTCTTTGGCCCAGAACGAGATATTAATTCTTTCATTCAAACTATTTGCAAGCGTACTTCATATCATGTATGCATTTTTATACAGTAAAGAGATAAGGAAAGCACAGTTATCTTTTTTTAATTTCTTGCAACTACGAGACTCGTATGTTCAATGCCCTTCAGAGCTTCCAAAACACCAACAACGAAGAGCTGAACAGAAAACTAATGAAGATTGAAAAACAGAGCAGTTGCAAATGCCTCACAAAACCTGGATGTAACAGTTACTTGTGTTCATAAGTTTTAATTTTGTTTTTGTTCAGGAGCTGTTGGTTTCTTACCGAGCTCGAAACCTCTTTTGCACACAGACCCTGTAAGATTTTGAACATCTGTCAGTGAGGAACAGAGGCCACGAAACTGCCATGGTTTTGGGTGGCCTGGGGTGGAATGAACAAAGCCGCTCTCGTGAGAATCACCGGATGCCTTGGTTTAGTGGACTACATCACGCAAGTGCTGGAACGTCATGTCTTACCCTTGTTTTCGTCAAGGTGTTATTCAAGTAGTCATCCCCATGCGAAACACTGCATTTTCTCATAGGGCCAATGCCATTACAGAATTCTTAAAAAAAACAAATCAAGTCAACGTACGAATAGTTAACAGCAAACAGCCCCGATATGAATCCTAAAGGCATGAAACTACGGCTGAAGAAAAACAACTTTGCCCCCAATTCAGACCCTTTGTTTGCAACTCTCTGTGACATTTGAAATGAAATGACTGATAAATATGTCCAAAACTAAATTGAATTGATGCCCAAAGGTCTCGTGCACAACACAAAGCCAATGGTTCCTAAGCAAAATAACAATGAACACAATTAGTGTTGAGTCGAAGTTTTGTGTGGTATCCGTGATTGCTCTGTTTTCCGTTATGTTTGAAACTATAGTGACAAAATATCATAATAAAATATTGTTTATTGCAAAGACACAATTCTCCATTCATTGGGCATTCAATATATCGCCATTCGATCAATATTGATACTCTTCAATAAATGCGCAAAGACAATTTAACGTTTCTTTGATTTCGCAAAATTTTGCCAAGCCTTATTTTTTTAAGGTCAATTTTGAGTGACAATATCTCGGGCGTCTCTTAAAATAGATTAAATATTAATATGTCAGATGATGAAGAATTTATTTAGCTTTAAATTGATATGCTGCATGAGTGGGTAATGCAAGGCTTTAACACGATGACTGGGTGATTACATTTTCAAGTTTGTTTTGGGCGCCAGGGTATAATGGACTACGTTTACAGTAAGTTTTGCACCTCCAAACTTTCAGGAGTTTTCTCTCAAATTGGACTCTTTCAGAGGGGAGGGGGTGGGGATGGGGGGGGAACAAAAAAATCTATCATGCGAAAAGTTGTTAAGATATCGTCATAATTTTCGGTGTACTGATAGATGGAACATTATTCTAGTGTAATAAGTAGTGACATCAAAAAAAATCTTGAATAAATGATTTTATTATAAATTTAATCCATTGTTTGGATTTGAGATTTTTGTGGTCAAAATATTCCCATATTTAGGACCTCGACTCTGGAAAAGTTTTTCCTCCTACATATAAAATGCCAAGTCCATCCTCTAAAACAGCCACGGAAGGCTGCAAAACCACTTATTGTAACATTTAAAATCATGTATAACCTTATGATAGATTTTTTAGAACTGTGTGCATTTTTTATATATGACAATTCCAATATGGCAGGCGTTACCATAGCAATACAAAAGAATGTTCAAAATTTTACTTCATGACTTAATTCTCCACTCTTTTTATATTGATGCTACCCAGTGATGCTACCACTTGTGTAAGCGTGTAAGCTTAGTTTCTTCTTCTTAACGAATTTCAAAATTTCCACCCCATCATGCCTTAAACCGGCAGTGGACGCTCCGTCTAAACGAAGCTTGAGTGCCGTAAACGTAGCCTCAACAACGCCTGCAAACTGCATTCAGAGTGCCGTGAACGTAGCCTGCCAACTACATTCACGGCGCCGTGAACCTAGCCTGTAGACTACGTTCACGGCGCCGTGAACGTAGCCACTGCGAAACGGAAACCTGTCCAACGCGGAAACGGAAAGAAAAAGCTGCTCCCTTCCGAGCGTTTCACCTGTTTAAGACAGAAAATGCTTTGCCTGCTCAGCCCTGATTTGAAATAAAACTCGCAAGTTTGGTTACACTGGCTCTATACTTAATGCTATGGCCATGCCGCTGGGAGATGGGGTGCAATTTGTGGGTAGATGTTACCCCATCATGTGAGCCCTGAGCGATGCAGATGGTCAGTGAAGTGTGGGTGCGAAATCTCACGACTGTCCGTGAGAGTGTTCGAGTAGCGAGCCACTACGGAAACTTTCGTGGGTAGCCAGAAGCCAGAGACCAGGTGTGAAATTAGATTGACCAATGTCTGCCGCCCTGATCGTACGGCCAGCCTAGAAAAGAGTTCCTTGAATCGTTGTAACAATGATAGCAGTGAGAGGTGGCTTTGGTGGGTAGGGCTAAGGGTGGAAGCAAAGGAGATTGTCAAACGTTTCTGTTTTTGATAGGTCAAACAGTGGTCCTATGAAAGGCAAGCACTGGTGGTAATCGGAAGACTGACGCATGTCATTCATTATCAGACAGGATAGCAATTGAGAGAGGTGTGAAGTTTTGACCACACTGCTTGCCGATCGGACAAGCAATCCTTGATCCGACCGGCTGGGCCTTTGGACCCCCCCCACCTCCATCTCTCCCTACATTCCCATGTCTAAGACGCAATTTTTTTTCTGCCTCCCTTGCGATTCCGTCTTACACAAGTTCGACTGTATTGCTATTTTCAAACATCAATAACAGTAATAACTCAACAACTGTTGATTTGCTGGAAAAATGAAGGTCATTTTCGTGTTCAGCATGCAAAACACTACTAGAAAAATAGCATATAAAACGTACATTAGACGGGTGCATGGGTAAAAAAAATAAAAATTCCAGACAACAAAAAACAACAGGCAATAATCACAATGCAATACAATTTTAGTCAACAATGAAAACCCAAACTGGATTTTATATATATCAATCTAGATTTTAGATCTAGCTAGAACTAGAAGATCTACAAAATAAAAGATCTAGAATTCAGGTTCTTAAATTATCTCAGAGGCTACGTTCACGGCGCCATGAACATAGTTGGCAGGCTACGTTTTCGGCGCCCTGAATGCAGTTTGCAGGTGCTGTTGAGGCTATGTTCACGGCACTCAAGCTTCGTTTAAACCGAGCGTCCACTGCCGGCTTTAGTCAGTGACGACAGTGACGTATGTATATATTTAATATTTTGGTCTACGTCAAGCTTTGGAGTTGCCATATCAGCTGCTTTTCTCAAATGGGAAATAAGTTGTAAGCTGGCAGGAAACAGCTGATGTGTAAACTAGTGTGATGACTGGCGTGTTGGGTCAGGTGTTAAAAGGATTGCTATTCATAGGTTCATAGTCATGTATACTCAATTTATTCTGTTTGGATTTTTTGAAAGTTCAACTTATATTTGCAGAGCAAATTTGTTTTAAAGTTACAGGAGAAATTGTTCAGCGCATCCCATCTCATTTCATTAAGGAGAGATGTTTGGAGAATATCATTCCTTAACACATTATTTAATTTAAAAGGAGATGAAACCAAATGCACACCAAATTAAAAGTGTGAGAGTCAGCGATCTGTGAATGTGGACGCGACCAAGAGGATGCCAACCATATCCTTCAGCACTGCCCGCGCTACACCACCCTTCGCACACAGACGTGGCAGAATGTGGCTCCCCTTGAGAGAAAGCTTTATTGCACAGTCTGTCAGAGTTGAAGCGAACTGCACAGTTTGTGCGCGACATCGGACTGACTGTCTAGCTGCTGTCATCGAGAACAAGGAAGAAGAAGAAGAAGAAAAGGAGATGAAGAAAAATTTAGTTCTTATTATCAAATGTTCTCCTGCAAACAAAAGTTCTTCATACAGGCTTTTTGTCTTTTTATTTCTGTTTAAAAAGTCTTGATGATCTTTTATATTTATGCAAACATAAGATTATTCTTGCGCATGAGAAATAAACTCAGCTGTTTTGTCGACCTCCTTAGGAAAAGGGTCAATTTGATTAAACTTTCTGGTATTCTTTTACTTTCCCTCCCGTCTCACATTTAGCTACTAGTTGTCCATTTTCTCCTATATATATTGATGCGCTGAACACGAATATCAACTTCATTTCTGTCGCAAAAAAATTAATAGTTAAAAAAAAAAATTTGATGGTTTTTAATGGAGCTGTATCACACTACACCTAACCGTGAGTAATTTGCCGCTTTGGACCAGTTGGGGGGTTTCAGTGCCCCTCTGTTTTAACCCATCTTTTGATATTTTGCAGTTAGGTTTGAAATTTTCTTGAAAATAATTGATTTGCAGCAGTTTTAGTGGCTTCATACGGTTTGATCTGAAGCAATCGGTACTGCAGTTTGACCCCTGAAGCAGTGCATTTGTGTACGGGAGTGAAAGTAAAAATTTACCAACTTGTTTAATAGATTAGAATTGTGATGTCATTGAAATGGAACGTTCTATCTTGAACTTACAACTAGATTTGTAGCAAATAGATGGTAAAAATAAGATTTCAGGGAAGTGGGCTTAGGAAACGGCACAAGATACTCCTATCACGAAGCTATAAAACACGTGACTCTACGATCGGCAATGCTAAAGCTGAGCGGGAAGCGAGAGGGAACATAGTGAAGTATAGTTTTGCTCAAAGCTAGCGAGACTCGCACAGGAGCTGCTAATAGTATGGTCATTCAGATGGAAATATCTGTTTTACTTCTCATTCCTGCCCAGCTCTGCGCTCTTGCTCATAATGTGGCCACATTGTTATTCAGTCAAATTTGCTCTAACGGCTAATTGTTTTAAAGACAATCTCCTGTGTGAATGTGCATTTCCTGTAAATTTCCCTCTCGCTTTTTTTTTTCACAATGTATTTGTAGTGACACTGTTGGTCGCTTTTAAGCACAAGGGGGCTATCCGGATAAATGCTGTTTTGAGAAATTCGAAGGTAAAGTTTTTGGATCCTTATTCAGTCTCTTTAAAAGACAAGGAGAGTTTTCTCTATAACCAAACAAATATACACACCAATGAAACCAAACTTCTCCTCTAGGTAGGGCAATGCCCACTTTTGGTGTAGGTGAAGATTTTTGGAAACCCCCGAAATCTGCGTTAGCCCACTTGTCCTTAAAAGTGACCGTTCAAGACCACCACTCTTTTCTTGACAATGGCTGGCCATCTTAATAAATATTCACCAATATAATTTGTTATGCTACACTTTAAAAATGGATAAATTCATGTCTTTTTACGAGTGTACGGTTGTCAAACTTTGTCATACTGCTAATTATGGGATGAGCATTAAGTTGGCCGGATGATGGGGTTTTAATGCTGTCCGCTGTTGAAATGCAGCGACAAACCAGTGTCAAGGGAGATGATTTTGCCATGACAAGGTAGAGGACAGTTTGAAAATTAGTTATTTCCCTTTGTCCAAAACTTGATGAGATGGCCTTCGGGTGTCCTGTGTTTGTGACATTAGTTAGCTTGCAGAATTGTGTGTGGGAGAAAGGGAAACTTTCACTGCTGCCAAGTGAGTGCCGTGTGCCATTGTAGTGTGCACCTCTGACAGCTTGAGCTGGCAGTGTAGTGGGACAAATTTATATAAATAAGGACTGTTTACCTCGGGCAGTCTTCAGGTGTTAACAGTTTAAAGGGGATCATAGTATGCTGATATAGTATTGTTAAATGTTCCTTTTCGTGCGATGGCAAAACCTGGCTGAAAGCAGGGCTGGTGGTATAACGAGGTTTGACTATTTCACAGACAATAATAGCAACAACATGCCATCTATCAAATCAAAAGTGAAATAGTAAAAACTGTAAGTTATTTTGATACCTCAAGAGTTGTCATTTCTGATCTTTGTTTTGTCCCTGGACTATATTTCCAAACTCTAATGGTGTTAAAAAGGCTTCCTTGTCTTGGTAATGAAAGAAACTGAAGTTGTGGCCTTATTGGGTTTTTTATATCTATTTTTGTGTCTTTAAATTTCAGGCACAGTCATGGATGATTTTCTTGATGTACCTGATGACTGGTTAAATCAACGCAGAAAAAGAGATTCTGGACATTTACAGGAATCTTTGTCAGATCCCACTTTGGCGTCCACACCAAAGAAAAATAAGAAAGATGCCAATTACAATGAATCTGAAAATCAAGGTTTGGAAGGACTCCATGGTGATCTGTCTCCTCAAACTAATGGAATAGATGAAAGTCATCGAACAGTTTCACCTTATAGAGAAGATCTTCCCGATTTGACAAATGGTTCAAAAAGTGATGTTGTTGAAAATGGAAGTGACGCTTATGATTTTGAATGCTCTGCCTGTGGTGATCACGTGAACGTGAAGAAAAATACTGATAATTCAGTAATTGAAATTTCTTCAACTTCAGAGACTTCTCTGAGGACGCAAGAGGATAGTTCCATTAATGAACCAGATTTTCTGGGTAACACTCTACCTGCACATATTCCCCATTCTCCTAATATTGCTGATGTTGAATATGTTGATAACAAAGAAGAAAAGAGTGAGGGGTCAGCATCTGAACAGGCACACAGTGTTGTTGGTCTTTCACGAGTGGATGCGTTGCCGCCAAACAATGTTGCAGATGTTGCAAAACAAGATGTTCCAGATATGAAGAAAGTAGCATCTGTTTTGAGAGATGCTAAAATTATCTCAGGGATTGTGTCATATAAAAATCTTAATAATGTTTATGATTTGTTGTTAGACAACAGAGAGAGACCAGATAGACTAGACTTTGTGACTTCAGTTCTTCTTGATGGAAGTGGGAAAGGTGGTCTTGATGATATTCAGAAGACTCCAGGAGTACAGTTGTTAGACATCTTTGAAGAAGTTGAATTGGTTATTAAAAGTGTCTCAAACGCAGATGCTAATGAAGTGTATGCACTTTTAGAGTCAGTGCCACCTTCGTCTACTCGAGTGAAATGTGTTATTGAGATACTGAAGCAAAAACCGATTCTAATTAAAGAGAGTGAAACAAAGACTGTTCCAGTTCTACTGAAAAAAGATTCATCTATTATAGATGATCCTCTTCTAGCAAATGATCCTTTGTTCTGTGACATGCGAACTGTTGCCAAAATATTTCCAGATAAAGACAGGAATGAGATTTATGCTCTGCTGGAGGCTCATTTTGAAAAGAAAGACAGGCTGCAGACTGTGATAGATGAACTCATGATGACTTACAGAGGTGAGGACCAAAGCCAAAACTCACAAGCACATGTGGCCCAGGCTGAAGAACCCAATCCACCATCAGAAGGTCAGTATAGTCGAACCTGCTTTAACAGCCACCTGTCCAAGAGTTATTTAATTGGTGTGCTTTTAAAATCTTTTTCTGTTTATTGTTTTTTCTTTTGTCTCATTTTCTTCCGGTCAAATTCTGACTGTTATTGTGTTGACTTGCCTCTGAAGTCACTAAGCAGATGTCTCTAGTTTGTTGAAGTTAAGCCTTTTTTTAAAAAACCCTTATTTAAAAAATGGTTATTGATGGACGCTTAATGTGGACCCACTTTGTGTCAGTTTACTGTTGTTCTTATCTACTTTTCCCATAGCAGGTGGTTGAGGGCACCACTGGTAGGTCTTACTTTTTAATCTATCCCTTTGTTGTTTCCGCTGTCTGTCTTACTTTACCTTGGTCTGTATGTAGTGTAGTGGGCAGGGACTTAGCTGCCACACTCAGATTATGTGAGTTCAATTCCCATCATGGGAGGAAGGTTTTTATCGAGTATCTCCGCTTGCTGGCACATTGTATCCATTTCAGTCCATCTCCTAAATGACCAAGTAGTGTTAATGCGGAGCATAAAAGGCCTACATGATGTAAAATTACAATTTTTTTCACGGTCTTACTTTCCCTCGCAATATGGCGGTTGTTGTGTTGATGTTCTTTTTTAAAAACTCAAACTCAACTCTCTCACATGATTATGAACTGTTTGTTCTCTTAAAGTAACGCTGACTCTCATGAAAACTAATGTTTTTAACAGTATTTTTTGTCTACTTATACCACTTACAAATGCTGCTGTTGAAGCTCATTTAATTTTGGTGTAAAATTACAACACAGAAGTAATCTTTTAGATTATCTATATGGTCACTACTAGTCAACAGATTTTGAAGTTCTCTTTGCTGTATTTTTTTCTTTTTTTCCTGCTGCAGAAAGTTCGGTGGAAAGGGATGTGGAGAAAATGCAAACATTGTTTCCTGACTGTGATCCAAACTACCTGTTTGAAAGACTAGAACAGATGGGCTCTGTGAAAAATCGCACAGATGTACTGGCTGCAGAACTCTTTGACCGTAAGAACTATCCAACATTGAAAGACCTGGAGGAAAAAGAGGAAGAAAAGACAAGGTTGGATAAGCTGCGCAATCTGAAAATCACTGTTGAGGAATTTCAACAGAAGTTTCCGGAACCAGAAAAGACTTTCGGGGATATTACCAAAGACCTTTCACCATCATACAAACAGCATGCCGATTTGTTCTTGAAGAATGAGTTCCGTATTCTTCAGGCTGGTTATTTGAAATCAGTTCTGGAAAGACACCAAGGACACGTGTTGCCTGCTTATAGAGAAATTTCCTCTGCTTTATTAAGTATTCCAATAGGTAAGTTTAATGCTGCTTTAAAATTTGCTAAAATTGAATATGGATAGATTTTGCCCTTTTATCGTTTTTTTTTTTCTTTTGATGAGGTTTTTGGTATCCTTTGATACTGATAGTAGAACTGTCTTGAAATAGTGACATTGCCACAAATACATTAACACTTTCAATATCAGTAAATTTGTTGAAGGATTCGTTATGACACCTATTCTGAATGCACTAAGGGGTAATCTTTTTGCCTATGAGGGAGGTACTCATGAGTTAGAATGGAGGGCTAGATAAATACAAGCAAAAGCAATCATCTTATAAATTTGAATTTGTTGTTTGGCAATAAAAAAAATTACGGGTCTGTTGAACACCCATAGTGGGCTGTATGTTCAAAGCTAAAAAAAAGTCAGTAAATTTTCAAAATTTCACACATTAGTGTTAATTTCAATAGCTGTGTTATCAATTTTTTTTCTTTGAAACTGATAATAATTCAAAAGTCAAAGTCATTTTTGTTCATATATTGTACGAGTAATATTTTTTCTTCTGTGACAATTTTATAGTGCTGTTTTATTTGCTGCAGCTGAACGTAAGCAACATAAAAGGTTTCTCAAGAACAGACGGGGCATTTTGTCTATGCCCACGATACCTGATGAGTATTTCTACCATGAGATGTGGTTTATTCACAATGAACAGAACATTGCAGGTAAATTCATTTTGAGCTGGTAGTGGTTTTGGTTATGTTTTGTGAGTGAGCTAGACAATGCTGTCATTTATACCTTTGTTTTATAAGGGGATCTACATTTTTTTTTTAAAAAAAAGGTCATTTACAGGTTTGATACATCTAAAGATGCCATTAACTATTTATATTTGGAGTGGGTTTTCTCGCTTTGCCGGAGCCCTCTTTTGGTACGAAACCTAAAAGTGACATAATATATTACTATATTGGTCATTTAATAAAAATAGATGAATAAACCTTTTTTGATAGTTCTTCATCTCTTCTAGTAGAAGAGACCTGTTTTCAGTGAGTGCCGAAAATTATCATGTCAATGTCATCGAAAAGGATTGCTCCCAAGCTGTTGCCAGCAATTCACCGGTATAGTCGTTCCGACTGTGAGCTGCTGAGAGTTAAAGAGTTAATCCATACTGATTAAAATCTCTCTAAACCCCTCACAAGTATTTCTTTTTAGTAATTAAATTTCTCTTTCATTCCCAAAAGTACTTTTCAAAGTAAGGAAAGTTTTGAAGAGAAACCGTTGGCAAGATTGCCCAGGTTTTAAAATGGTAATCTTGGGTGGGTTATCTTGAAGGGAGAAGCTTGTAGAACCATGCTGCCATTTTTGAGTGCTGTGCTTTTGTTGTGTTTCAGAAATGTGATTGTTGGGGAAGAGTGTATTTCAATGGAGCTTAGTTCTGAAAGCATAATAATTCTTTTCATCCCAGAGTAGTGTGGTGCTGAATAATATAAGGGTGCCTGTTTTCAAGTTAGACTGAAAATGCATACTCAGTATTGCTTTATTTTTAGTTGCCAGTGGCATTACTGTTTGTTTTTCTGTCAGAATTTTTTGAAATAGTTCATATTTTCAATTTCAAAATAAAAGAAATAAATTATGCATTAAATAATCTATTATTGTTTACGGTGCGTGATAGTATGTTCAGTTCTCAGTTCATGGAGACCGGGTCGGTAGATCTGGTTTTTTCTTAGGTTTTATTCTTTCATCCTTTCTCATCATCTTATTTACATCCGCTTTCCCAGGATAAGATGGGCCTAGCACTTAATCTTTTGGGATGGGGACAAGAAACGGAGGGCTTGTGTGCCTGTTGCATATGTTTGTAGTTCTATCACTGTTGAAAGTCTAAAAGGCACTGGCTTGACAAAATTCATGATTCATATCTGCCCTGATGTTGTTGTTATCGATCCAGCAACTCATTGGCCCTCGCCCTTCTGTCCAATGCCATGTAGTGATAAGTGCAGGTTTACTGCAATTGCTGTAATGTTCCATAGAGTGTGTTGTCAATGTTAGGTCTCGAAGGAAGACGTATAGTTCTTATGTAAATTATGACTGTGCAGTGGAATAGGTATCTCCCCTGATCTGTTTAGATAAATTAGAATGTCTTAAACAACGTGCGGGTGGTTGAAGGGCGCCACTGGTAGGTCCTACTTCTTTTCTTTACTCTCCCTCTGTTGTTTCTGTCTGTCTGTCTTACTTTTTCCCAGCACTAAATGACCAACCCCCCGGTGACTGAAGTGTCTTGAGGCCATTCCCAAAGGGGGGACATTAGTATGTTCTTATGCACAGTGGAATTGTAAACTGGCTGATTCATCAATGTCATGCTCATTACTGTTCCTGAACTGCAACAGGGAACTGCTGCTTTTTCTTTCCTAACCCTTACTATCGTTATTTCTCCTCTACTTCTTTTGTATGTTTGTCACACTCTTGTGACCAGCTATTTCCGGGGTGCCCTGATAGTCGAAGCAGACTTTGTGCTGTTGAAGCTAGAGAGGTGAGCAGAGTTAGCCTGATTCCCAGTAAGGACTTCTCTGTTGACATTCACCCCTTGGCGCTAGTATGACCTTGTGCAGTTGCGAGCGCTGTAAAACCTTACTAGAACTAAAACTAAACTAAATGACCATTATAGTGTCAATGTGCTTCTCCTTACTCAAATAAACAACAAAAAAAAAAAATCAGCGTTTGCTGCTGTAATGGCAATTGAGCACTGTGTTCTTGTAGAAAAACAGACTATCAAATCAACTTAATTACTTGTTACTGTGTCAGCTAAAGAAATATCTCTGAATTCCAGTGGTGGGAATGTGAAGAAAAGGAAGAAAAGCAGACTGTGGTTTCTTGCATGACTCTGTACCTTCCTTCACTCTGCAGATCATGAAAACAAGAAAGTGCAGCAGAGACAAATGAAACTGGAGGAAGCCAAAGCAAAGGGAGAGCTGTATGAATGCTGCTGTTGCTTTGAGGATGAATGTCTATTTGAAGATCTTGCCAGCTGTGCAGACGGCCATTTGTTCTGTAAGACATGTGTGTTAAGGTCCACAGAGGCTGCATTTGGAGAAATGAAGACAAAGTAAGTTTTGGATTGTTAGTACAATGGAAATAATTTTCGGAGGTGGCCCTCAGGTTTACTTTTTATGAGTCTCAATTTATATGAGACAGTTTTGGCCCGCTCAGGAACAGATATCTGCCATTATGGTTCGCTAGTCATGACTCCACTCAGATGTCCCAAAAAGTTTTCCCTGGTCTTTCTCTGTCACCCATCAGTTCAGGTTTTCTAAGTTGGTTGCTCTGGGTCTACCTCTGCCTTGTTTGCCTTCTATTACTTCAGTGATGTCAATTTAAGTGTCCCAGTAATTACTTTTGTCTTTTTTTGCCCAAGTGGGCTTCTTTTAGCATTACCTCATTGGTTTTGTTTTCTTTCCATGGAATTCTCAATGCTGTCCTAAGAAACTACATTTCTGTTGCTTCCATTTTAGTTCCACTGTCTTTGGTAATTGTTCAACATTCACAGCCTTACAGAAGGGTATACCATACATAGCCTTTTCTGACTTTTATTTTGATTGTCATTGAGATATTTCTATTTTTCAGGATTGAATTCATTTTATAAATTGAAACTGCCTGTAGCTGTTGCAGTTTTTTTTTAAACTTGTGAGGAACTCTAGGCTTCAGATGTTATTATAAATCCTATATTTAAACTTGAACTTGTTTGATCTGTTCATGTTTGTGTGTGAGAACACTAGTCGGATTTACTGCTTTAAAAAAAAAAAAGAGATTATGATGCTCTAGCTGGGCCCCCTTTCACGGAATGATCGGTGCATGAACATCAACTGAAAGTCATTGGCCTACTATATTTACACTCTACTGGAATTGAGCAATAAATCTTGAGAGATGCACAAAATTAGAAGGTCTAGATCTATACTCTCAAAACAAAATGTGCCTCGCGAAATATCACTTCTGGCCCTTCTGATGTGAAGGACAGCTACGCAGATTTGTTTCGTTTCTCAGTGGAATAATCACAAAGGCCAAATACATTTTTCAAAATTCAGGAAATGAATAGATAAAAAAATCGGGCTCTTTCATATGGACCTATCTGTCTTTTTGCTGGTACTTGCCAACTTTCAACTCTGTAGCTGTCGTAGTTTTATGGGAAAAGTGACACATGTGTTTCCAAGTTGCCAAATGTATAACAGATGTATAAATTGATTCTCTATTCTGCTTTCGTGGTTGTACACTCCAGAATTTCAAAGGTGTGGAATCAGTGTTCACGGCTAGTGAACGGAAACCTCACTTGTTTACAATGGCGTCTTGGAAGACGGACTTTCCCAAGATTAGATCTAAACGAAACTAATGAAAAACTGAAAATTAAACTACAGTGACTTCAGGCTCCTCAATAAACTGTGCACCCTTTAAATGATTCTGAAGCACCATTAATTTGGTCAAATTCGAAAGTAAAATGGTTCGGAAGTTTTGGGTGGCCAAAGTGACGAACTTTCACAAAATAATTTACAGAGATTCTGTTTTCTTTACGCTTAACAAAGACCTTTACGTTCATTTTCTGTCTAAACGGTATCTAGAAATTTCTCCGTTCGTTTTGAGGCCTGGACTTTCTTCTATATTTGTAAGGATTTTTTCACTGTATATGTTAAAAAGGTCTTGTTGCATAGAACTTTCTCGCCTTACTCTTCTTTTAATATGCTTATATTCACAGTACTCTCCCTTAATTCCTACTGCAGCATTTTGATCTCAGTGCAATTTCCTGATAATTTTTAGTTCCTTTCATCTATGTCTAGCTATTCCAAAATTTTGAATAGCTCATCATGCTTAACTTTATTAAAAACTCTTGAATAATCAATGAAGTCTAAATGCAAATATTTCTGCGCTTCAATACATCTTACTATCAACATTGTTAGGGTGAATGTAGCAGTTTGGGTGCTCTTGTCAGGAATATAGCCAAATTGTGTTTTGAATATCTCTGATCTTAGACATTTCCTCGTTCTTTCCATTAGTGTTTGCAGCAAAATTTTTGTAGAATGACTTACAAGGTTTATTGTTCTATCCAACCCACCCTTTTTGTGGCACCTGGTAAAGCTATAAAAACTGGCTTAATTATATCTTTTTCGAATCTCACCTTTGTGGTAGATAGAATTTAAGAGCTTTGTTGTTATTTGAGTGCCTAATTCTTCTATAGTCACTTCAACTGGGATATTATCTGGCCCTACTCCTTTTCTTTGTTTCATTTTCTAAATGCCAGCTTGTAAAAAAAAGCACAAAAAGAAAAATATTCAGGAGCTGAAAATCTATTTGCAATACGTGTGTTTTTCACTATAAAAGCGTTTACTATGTGCGTGCTAGACTGTAATTCTTTAGAATATGATGCCAATCACTTTGAACTGATTTGGGCCATGTTCCCTGCTTTTCTTCAGGTTTCCATGTCTGACTGGAGCATGTGACCAGCACATAACCTTAAACACAATCCAGTCTATAGTGCCGAGCAACCTGTTCTCCAAAATTATCCGGCGCATGCAGGAGGAGGAGGTTCAACAGGCAAACATCCCTGATTTAGTCATCTGTCCATTTTGTCCTTTTGCTACCATCATGTCAGATAAGGACGACAAAGTGTTGAAGTGTCTGAATCCTGAGTGTCTTAAAGAATCCTGCAGGTATGTGAGTTTCAGGAGCTGTGAGCTGTGTGATGAATATTAATTGCACCTGTACTATTTCAGCATACCTTTTTAGATGTACAGTCAAACCTGTGTAAGACGGCCACCCCTTGTCAAGGAGAAAAGTGGCCGTCTTAGGCAGGACTGATCAAGATGAAGAAAACAAACCTTTCCCATCTGAGGTCCCAATCGTAAATAGCTGCATTGTTGTTGTTTTTGTTTTTGTTGTTTTGTATTTTGTTATGTTTAAAAAAAATTTTTTTGCTGATTTTGCGCAAGAGTGACAATAAAACAAAATGAATCGGACAAGGAAGACCGAGTGCCGTGCTAAAACAAACACATGGGTCGCCCGGAGAACGAGCGACGCTTCTGTCACAAGTTCATGTTGACGTCCATTGTTACTTTGTTACAGACTGGGTAAACAGTGACCACTCATCTCACTTACGATTTGTTCATGAGTTCTGGGCGGGGCTTATGGGTTATGAGGGATCACACGTTTACCTCACCCGCAGCTGAAAATTGGTAGTCAACCTATTGGTCAACAGTGGAAGGGGCCTACGCAACATGATTGATTGGAGGGACTACCTAACAACAACGACAGGTGATTGAATTATGACGGCTCGCCCACAACGCCAGGGGCCAACGCATAATTTATGACAAAACGTAATGGAGTCACTAAGGTGGCCGTCTAAAACAGGTGTTATTGTTTACTGTTATAGGGGTTGTGTGTTAAAATATGGTGGCCGCGGCCACGTTGGACAGGTGCCCGTTTTACACAGTTAAAGTATATTTAAAAACCGCAAAGGGGGAAATGAAAAGTGGCCGTCAGGGCAAGTTCGACTGTATTAGCATCTCTGAAAACAACTTAATAGTTTGTTCACTCGGTGCGAGGAATGGGATGTAGGGGTTGTGTCCTGCCTCTCAGGATAGCCTATGGGGATCTCAAACCTGCCACCCATCCCGATTTAATCTGGATATCCCGATTTTTTGCCCCAAATCTTAAGCATCCCGATTTTCCCGATTTCGATTGCGTGTCTCCTGATTTTTTGTTGTTACGTCTGATTCCAAGAAAAAAAAATCTGCAATCTCTTTTGCTTGGAAGCACCGATTGGACTTTTTATGCTGAGGAACTTGGAACGCTTCTTCTAAAATCCTACCCATTAAGCCATCTGGCGTTTAGCCTAGGGCAGCAACAAAGGATCTCCAGCTCTATCTGTTTTGGGCCATCTAGGTCAACGTCCCCTTTCTTCTAAAAGTAAAACATCAATTCCGGATCTAGTAGTTGACTCACGCCCGTTATTTCAAGTAAAATTGGAAGTAGTATTGATTTTGAGTTCCGACTTGGATACTTTCAAGGTCTACTTTCACTTTTGTTACCCTGAATTCTCCTATGGTGGCCTGATTACTGTATCAATTATGACATAGACCTAAAAATAATCAAGCTTCGTCCGAGTTCTGGTTAGTCGGACCCATCATCAAGACCTGTCAGTGGAACTTTCAAACACCCGGTCACATCCCATGACATGACCTCGTACATGCGAGTGGCGCGTGTGTCGGGGACCGTCGTCTGTCGGGGTCAACAAAGTTCATTCACACCGGTCGCATTGCTGGAGGTATTTTTTGGGATGTAACCAGTGTGGGACGACTGGGGGTAGGGATATTGTTTTGACATCTGGGCTTAAAATGCGCTCGGTAATACATAATATATATACTAATGGAGGATAAAGGAATAAGAAAAACAAAATTAATGAACAACCTGAGCGCGATTTGGGGGGCGGGGGGGGATGGCGCTGCCTTGAGTACTTGAGTGTGTATGCGACCGATGTCGAACGTTGTTACTGTATGAAAACGCGCGCCTTTTGCATGGATGAATAGAGTTGCGTGTAAGCTATTTTCAAGACTACGGGAGTTTCAGCCTAACAGCAACCTGCTCTCCCCCAGTCTATCCAACTCTGACTCGAGTACATGATCAGTTTTTTCCCCTCTTCTTTGAGGTTCAAATGTGAACTTATTCCTGCAAAAGTTTTGTCTTGCACGCTTGCCTCATAAAAGGGAACCAGGACCCCCCCC